TTTAACAAGGGCGTTACGATCGTGCGAATCGTACAGAATTTGCGAACAATTTCGTTAACAGGGACATCCGGACACAAGTACGCATCGTTTATTACGTCGCGGAATTATGTATCGTAACTCTCGTAAACAATCGAGTTGTCAAATGGATAGAATGCCACGCGCATTTAAATGTTCGACACTACTTCCGGATATACTTCCTTCGCTTCGTATACACGCGACGTGTAATTAAATTGGATTTTATTCGACTCATCAGCGGAATAAACGCCAGCAGTATTTATAGCACAACGGTACAGGTACGAGGAATTGTGCGCACAATCGGATAATAAATTAAAAAAATTTATTATACGCTGCGGTTACATGTATATGTTTAATGAGTCTCGCGATCATCATCAAGAAGGAAACACTCGCCGCTCTTTGACTCTCATTTCGAAGCCAACAATTTAAAATTATCTCGATGGTTAATAATACCTCGCATTAGGGAATGTACCTGCGGACATCGGAATCGCGCGAGGATAATTGCGAGACGATTTTAATCCTTTTATCATGATGAATATTTGCGTTACGCTCAAAGGAAAGTAAAAAGAATATTAATTATTGACGCACTGCTCCTCCAAGAAGTACGCCAATTAATTTAAATAAATGTTAATATCAATATTCAATAATATACAATAATTATATATAAGTAAAGTATTACGAGTAAAAAAGATCTTTCTCAAGTGACGTTTTGATAAACTTTCCCAAAAAAATGCCCGAATCATCACACGCAAAAAATTTACAAAAAATCCCGCCTTTCCCTTAAGTACACAAAGATTAAATATTGAGGGAAAAGAGATTAAATAATACATCAGCTGGATAAAAGGCGACGTCACCTTTGGATCAACGTGGCATAGATTCGCGAGTTGGTAGAGATAGTTTCGCCGAGAGGAATGCATGAAGCGAAGAGAGAGAGAGAGAGATCGGTTTATGCATTCGTATGTGAAAATGCGCGTATCGCGAGACGAAGCGTAATACACGTACACAAAGAAACGCGCGCGCGCACGAGAGCACCCACATACATAGAGGGACGAGCCGCTGCCGTTGATGTTGGTCGATCAATATACCACGCTGGTAGAAGCGAGATGAGAGGAGGAAGCTGAAGAGAACACGGGAACAGGGAGGAGGTATTGTTAAAGCCACGGACACATTGGACATAAGCTGAATATTTGCATTGAACGCGGCCCAGAAAGTCGCGTGACCGTGTTTGAGATATCCTCCGTTGATCCACCTTGCCCTCTAAATCACTAGAAATTAACCGCACATGTTATAGCCGCTCGTGTAAAGCTAATTGAGGTTTTTATATACGGAAAATTTGTCGCTCATCTTTCCGTACGAATATTTTTAATATATAATATATTTAATATATATTCGTCAAAATATCTACAGTTTCATATAAATAGCCTCTAATTTCTTCGATGTAAGGACCCTATAAGCTTTAATTTTTTATAAATTTCTACATCGTTTTTTATTGTATATATAGATTGAAAATCATGTTCGGTCTCTGTCTTTCTCTTTTTTGTTTAGAAATATTTGATAAAGATTTAAAAATAATTTTCTACAATTTCACGACACTCGCAGCTTCTTTTCTTTTCTGTCGAGTCTTCGTTGCTATTTTACAGCAATAAGGATCGTACGATAAAGTGCGTTGAAGTGATATTTTTATCTAAACGGTTATCGATTATCTCGCAACAATGCGCGAATAGGTTCTTCAAATAGTTTATAACGTATCGTTGCCTGACTCTAATGGTTTTTGGGAAATGTATTATTTCCGTATTTTTGACCCATCAAATTTAATCGAATCGCTCATGTTACGTTGTCGCGAATCTTCAAAGATATTTGCGGATATGGTGGATCAAAGGACTTTTGCGCGTCACTTGTTCCTCTGTAAGGTGGTCCTCTTTGTAAAGAGGACGCGATACTTTGTCGAGCCGACTCCGGAAGAATGCGCATAAGGGTTATCGACCTGTCGCGAGATTTCATCCCCTCTCCTCTTTTCCTCGTTACCCTCCGAATTCCTTCCTCCCTAGGTCCTCGCTCCCTTCTTTTCGTCTTTCGTCGTTACGTAATAAGACGTAACAAATAAATAAGAGAAAAAGAGGCACTCGAGAAAAGAAGACACGCGGAAAGGAAGAAAATACAAAAAAGTGGCAAATGGACGAACGAGATGAAATAAAAGAGAGGCAAGGAACTTGCTTTTTTTAGAATATCGATAAAGAAAGACTACTAAATGTCTGGGTGTAAACAAACTCTCCCCTCGCACGAGTTATATTAATTAAAAAAAAAAAAGAAAAAGAAAAATGGAAAGCGTGCATGCACGCAATTGTATAATTTCCCGGAGAGACCAGCGTGAGAGGCTGCTTAACAAAACAGGTCACTGTATTAGAAATTTGCCACAAACATGATTTTAAAATATAACAATTAAAACATTTTATATTACATTGCTGTAAAGCTTGTAAAAGGAATCCCAATCTCCTTTCCCACGCTCTTGCTTTCGACATTCTCATTCTCGTGTGTTTAACAAGAATAGCTGTTAAACACCATGATGTAGCATCGAGTAACTTGGCAATAGAGAACGTATGGCGAACCAGCTAGCGCTAAATAAGTCGATCGAAACGTGTGCACGCGTGAAAAGGAAGGGCGTGAACCAAAGCGCAGGGTCAATGGTCTTCATTACGCGTGTATCTCTATTTAAGAGGCACGAACGGAACGAATGATCGACGCAGCTCTCACGATGCCGGTCATCGAGCGGGAACCGTCCCGTGAAGCATAACCCCATGACCGGCGATTCTTATTAAAGCCACCTTCCTCTTGTGCTCGGCTAGGTCATCACATACACGGCGTCTCGAAAATCCGTCCTACATGCTAGTCCGAGCTGATGTTAAATTTGAAAAAAAAATTATTGCATTAATTTCAGCATTTAAAATAATAGAAATTTTATGATCAAAATTTACAAGCGATTATTTGTTCACGGCCTTACAGAGGCCGTAGATGAAACTTGTAGATAAAACTTTTTTTCATGATTATACACATTACGGACACGCACACGTCCTTCGATTGGAAAGGTTAAGTGGTCAATAATTTATTTAGTATAATGTCAAAGTTTGTCCATCGCGCGATTGGCGACAGACAAAATGGAAAATCGATTCTCCGGTCCTATGAAATCGGGTATATCTATTTCGATCATGTTTAAGCCTGGACGAGATTGCCGCAGCAATATAATTATGTTACGTATGCGGCAGGATCGATGTCTCTATCTTTCGCAGACGTGTAACAGAGCCGTCATTGCGGGAAATACGCCGGAGAGAAAGCAGGACGAGGCAGGAGAGAGAGCTTCTGTCCAACAAGTTCTCGTACGCGATAACTTTATGACATTATGAAAATACACAGTGCAAAAGTCTCATATCGCGCGATAATTTTTTTCAAAACGTTGCAGAATTGTGTCATCTAGAGACTTTTATAAAAAAAAAAAAAACTTTTTTTATCGTGTAAATAAAAAGTGCGCAATAAAAATTGAGGCTCCTCTTCCGACGAGTAAAAGACCTGCAAAAATGAATAATTGACGAGTTGAAAAATATTTCACGGCTGAAAAGGAAATGATAATTATTAAATCCCGCGACGAAATCATTTTTCGAAAGAGTATAAACTGCGGGAAACTACGCCAATGCGGAAGAAAGATTCTACGACACTCGTCGTCGCGCGCCTAATCGCGAAAGGAGCCTCTATCGATCCTCGTCGCAATATACCTAGACGACAGGCCGACCAAAGGGACGAAGAATCGAAGGTGTATTGGCGAGATTCGTTTCGGGAGCGCCAAAAGAAATTGATCCGGGGAAGCCCAATTTAGTTAACCTGCCGATATACGAGACACCCCTGCGGTGTTCCGTCGACGGCGAGATTAGAACGGTGGTTTCTAGGACGCGGTTATAGCGATTTGTCTATAAAGATACCCGATACTTGGATCAGTCTCAAGACGTAGGCGAAGCACGTTCCGAGTCAAATTGGAGCAATTTCGAAGCCGATTCGATCGATTCCACTGATTATTTTTCCCCCTATTGAAATATATCCTCCATATATTCTCGAAAAAATTAAATCTAATCTCGAAGTGAAAGAATCTTTTTAGAAATTTATCTTGGAATTTATATCACGTGTAGACCCATTCAATATATCGCGCATGTAATAGACATCGTTATTGTTGTCCGTAAATGAAAAGTCATATCGCGTAAGCCGACCATTGGATGATGTTGATGCGCGTGTGACGCGATGTTAATTAAATGAATGCTAATTTCTGACACGATAAAGCGAAGAACACGAGTTAATTAACGCGTCGGTCAACCTAGCGGGTGAACAGCAATGCAGGTCGTGCATGTCCGCATAGAGACAATTAATCGCATTTAATTTCGCGATATTAATTTGTTCTAAATTTTTCGTTCGACTTGTACAACTCTCAAACGGTACATCTCGGTGAAAGTTTATCATCAATTTATCTTATCACCTCGATATCCAAGTCGAAGGAAGAATGTTTAGTAATTATTCCCTCAATTTTGTGAAATTTGTCGCGCAGTGATATTCGTTACAATTATTTATAACATTACGACACGCAGTCTCGAATAAAATGCGAAGATGATGCTCTATTTGTTCAATTTCACGCGCAATCGATTCCAAGCACGACAGACTCGATTTATTCGTACGAAACGAGAAATTCTCCTCGTCACGATCCAATACAAATGCCTTCTTCCTCGATCTTCCCAACTTGGCCTCCATCGATCCTCGCGATAAGTTCACATCAACATCTCGCGCCGCGAGAGCCGCCTCCTCGAGATGTCATCGTCAAGATCGATCTACAAATTGAGGAATTTCGCGCGCGCTAGCCCTTTCCCCCCTCCCTCGCCGCGCATATACCAGATAAATAGCAAATGACAAATCTACGCGAGATAAAGGGTCGTGAACGGTTCGCTCGCACTCACCTTGACAAAGTGCAGGTTCTCCTTGTCGAGGAGGAACTCCATGGACTTGTGGGGCCGCTGGTGGATGGCTGACGTTGCGGCAGACGCGACGTCGTCGCGGGGACTCCTGTCGACGGGCGACTGGGGTACGTGGAGGGCGTGCTCGGGCCGCGGCCGCGGCGCCGCCGCCGAGGTGTGGTTGAGGTCGAGCAGGCTACGGGTCTTCTTACCACCGGCGCCGGCGGCGGCGGAGGCAGCAGCAGCGGCGGCGGCGACGGCGGAGGCAGAGGCAGCGGCAGAGGCGGCGGTCGAACTAGCGATGTACTTTGCGCGACTCGCGTCGATCACCGCCTCGTCGAGATCGGTCTCGAGCAGGCCGACCGGGCGCTCCTGGGCGGCCTGCATCGCACGGGCCTTCGCCATCTCGATCGCCGCCGGGTTCCCGAGGTCCGTGGCGGCGCGTCGGCGCGACGCAGACGCCGACGCCGACGCTCGCGTCGTTGCACCCAGGGCGGCGACGCGCGGCGGGTGAGGCGGCAGGGGTGGCTTGCTGGATACTGGCGCCCTCCCGTTGCTGCTGCAAGAGACAGACACTCTTCAGGGTGGTCGACTTGACGGGATCGCCTGGCGATTCCGGAGGGGTAGGAAGGCGGGAAGGTAGGGAGATGCCAATCACGCGGGTGGTTTGACCTGATACGAACTGCCGATCGGGAATCTCGCTGCGCCACGACCAGGACATCCTCCTCGCCTCCCAGGTCCTCCGGGGACTAAACCGAGACGAACCGACGAAACCTACTGGCGAACGCGAGCAAGACTGGCCTTGCACAGCGCCGCGCGTTGCACCGACGTGCGCAGGATAATTGGATATTGGCGGATCGCATCGCAGTAGTAGAGTTTTAAGATGACCCTGCTGCGACAGAGGAGGAGCTCGGACTCGGACGAGCGTTTGCCTTTCGATCGCCCAATTTTATGTACGACGAAACGAGGAGGTTTAATTGTCCTCTTCGCTCTTTATTCATGACTTAGTCGCATTCGTCGCGATTAAAAATTCCTTTTTTGACAATTCACCGCGGCATAATTGCCTCGTTAAACCGACGCATTATCATCCGACCACGTTGAAAGCAAGTCACGTTATATGCGAAACTCATAATAGCATCGCAGTTTTGTTTCTTTCGCTTCTCCGTTACGGGTTAGTGGTACAGAACGAGAGAACAGAGACAGTTTTTGTTTCATATACGCGCGCGACGTTATTGTGACTCGATAATTGAAAATTGGCGTTCGAGCGTATTTTACGCTGTCGTGGTACATCATCGGTTTCCGATAGCAGACAATTAGCAATAGAGTGAGTGCTCCTTTTTACTTTTCCCTTGACCGGAATCGGGGATATTAACCTTTCTCCTTTGATGTGCATCCGTCTAATCTAAATGTTACTCACACATCATCGCGGCTTGGAAATGTATGCGAATGTAAATATGCGTTGAAGATATCAAAAGTACATCGTGAAAAATGATTGTAACAAATTTGACAAATATACACGCCGCGATTAATTATCAAACGCTATTTCCGCAATGTTAATCACGAGTTAAAAATTGCGACGATAAGGGAGATTTATATGCGAGATAAATTACGCCGACTTTCGCTTTCAATTTCCGATCTACAAAGCGCGATCGCGAGAGACAGTGGTCGCTTTATTGAGTTTCCGAGTAGCGGTCGAATGGTATCGATAAAGACACGGCTATATATCTTGAAGAGGACAGTCACTAATGAGACACTTTTCATCTGCCATAAGCCTAGTGCCCGATAAGAAACTGAGCACAGCGAGCTACTATTGCGAGTTCGTCGAGGCTTCGTTACGTTACAAATGAACATGGAGTTGCGATCTGTTATGAAGCCGTAATCTGTCTCAGTCGATGCTCTCTGACCGCGAGTTACATGATTACGGAATAATCCAGTCGAGTTTGAGTAATTCAAACTTCCTCAAATATTACATCAAGTATTTACATATGACGTATAGAACGTCAAATTTCTCTCCATTTTCTTCGATTAGTCATTTTCTCTTTTATCAAAAACTTGATGAAACATCATTCTTTTCGCAATTTAAAAAATATTTAAAATATTTTGTCTCAATGATCGAAGCTTAAATCAAGAGATTTTTTAGAGTTTACTTTAAATTATATATTCGGTTATATTGTAAGAGAAATTTATTCCTACAGCATCGAAGCTTGAATTTTATTTGTACACAGAAGAAAAAAGTGTCAAATCAAAACTTATATACTTAAACTAACGTATTCATTGTTTCGAAACAATTTATAATCTTCTTAGAAGAATTTAATAATTTTAAATTTCAACAATATTATAGTTTTATTTTAATATTGTAATTGTCAAGAATATATAATTATTTAATTCTACTTTAAGAAAATTATAATCTTTGATTTAAAAATGTTATTTTCTATCTAACATTGTTTCTTTTCTATTCAAGAAAATTAAATCTTAAAGCATGAGAATATATTTTTCTCGATTCAACTTTATAAAATGGCTTCATTCAAGTAAGCAATTATTCAAGCAATTATATTTTTCTTTAATTAACGCAATATAATTTCATTTCAAGATTTCCATGTTAAAACTAAATATATCTTCAAAACAAGAATGTCTCTTTTTCTGTGTACGTTTCCTTATTATAACTTAAAAAGAAAAAATTGGAAAATTTATTACTTTCGTTTCCAACGGTCTTAAAATGCGATATTTAAACAAGTTAATTGCTACTCAAACTAAAAATATTAACCTTTAAAAATATTATTTTTTTTTTAATATTAACTTTTTGTAAAAGAGCTGGGACGCGATTCCAAGACGTGGAAAGCGAGACGCAAATGAAATTACGGAAGCCACGCTCGGCTCGCACGTGATCCGACGACGACGCATTGCAGCATACGCATCCGATTTTATTATCGCGGCATAGTGTGAGATCATGTTTATAAACGCAACCCGACGATGGGGAATCATCGGTTTCTAAAATTAGTGTACGACCGCCGGCGTAAAAACAGTAGTAATGGTTTTCGAGGCCCTGAAAACGAGCGTTCTCCGTTGTTTGCGTTCTCGGAGTTGATCTTTCGAGAGTGTATATCTTTCCGATTTCGGTCCGAATAACGCACATAACTTGGCTACAAATTACGGAGCTAAAATCTGCGATGTTGAAAATATTCCACAAATAGAAATATTAACATTGAAAAATTTGCACGCGATGTAACGTGTTTTTATCGATGTTAACGAACGTTAATATCGATGAGAGAGAGAAAGAAAGAGAGAGCTTCGGTACTTTATGATGCGTCCCGTCGAGTTTTGGCGGATTCAGCCCGTGCAAGACCAATGTAACCTCGCGATACGAACGTAATAACTCGTCCCGACGACGATGGGACGCAGTTAAAAGCCGCGGAATGAGCGCGGGAGCGAGCTTAATTACGCCGTCGTTAAAGAGACGGTTAAATGGGAGCGTTTGTTGCGTTTTTAAGACGGCGGAATAAAAGCAAAAATTCACGCGGACGTAAAAAAAAAATGGAATGCAGATAAGAAACGAAGTTGGAGAACACTGATGGTCCTTTTACGCAACCACAGCGGGAGAGAAGCAAAAAGTTTAAGGGGGACGATTAGAACTCCGACGAACGTGACGTTGAACTCGCCTCGAACGCGACTTCCGGACTCGAACCAGAATGGAATAAGATTAATAAGGCGACTCTCTCTTGGGCCGGCAGCACTACACCTACACACGTGTGCAAAGTGTATATTTAACCGTGGCACGCACGAAGCGAGTTCACGTCGCACAAAATCGAGATAGCGCGAAATATGTTTGATAATTAAAAATCAAAAGAATGGGAAAGAGAAATTAATTTTAAACTGCGTGTTTCTTCTAAAGTTGTGCGTAAAAAAAATATATTCCACGCGAATAACGGTTAAAAAAATTGTTAAAAAAAGAATTAAATAATTAGACAAGTCGCGAATCCTTGCAAATATTTCTAACTTTTAATGATACAACTCTTTTAAAAGAATGAGACAAAATAATTTGGAGTCATTCTCGATTCGTAACAATTTCACTTATACTCTTTTGTTTGTAATTTACTATCTTCTCTTAAAAAATATAATTTTGAAAAATTAACAATAAAAGTGCAAGTGGTTTGGCTGGAAATTGTTTTAATTCACGAGCCACCGGATGTTGGCAAATTATGCTATGCATAACTAAGTCGAGTTGTATAGCATCCTTGCCAGAGGAGCTCGCCTCGCAGATTCCAGCTCCGTTTGCGAAAGCTCGAATGGTGTCGGCTTCCTAAATTACATCCCGCAGCTTGCAACGATGATTCATCGCTCCTAAACGCGGGCGGGCGTGGGATATTGACTGCGTTCTGTTTAACGTCTCGTCAAACAGATCGAGAAACGCAAACGCCGAAAGTTTTCGGCGCGTGAATGAAGTAATACTTTCGATAAAGTATATTACGAGAGCGAGAAGAATACTCGAAATTAAAATCTACGCAAACTTTAGAAAATATTAATTTATAAATTTATTCATTAATATATATTTTTTTTATTATTCACGAGAAAACGCATTTTTCACAAAATTATATCATGACCTAAATAAAGAAATTGTCTTTCAAATATTACGCCAAGCTTAGTGAGATTTCGCATTTATGCGATTTATGTTTTGCAGAATCATAGATTTTTTTTCGCGTTGGTGGAAAGACAGCAGAGCTCTTTTGCGTGAAAAATTGGCATTCTTCGTCTCGATGAAATTTTTTCGGCGCAGCATAAATCGAAACGAAAGACGCCAATTCGGCGAAATCTAATACGATAAAGCAAATGTTTGTTGGCGAAAGAAGTAAGAGGGATCAGATACAGCGTTCCCAGAAGAGCCATGTTGATTGACGACGGGCTCGAGGAGGCCAATAAAGTACGCAATTGCATCGAGAGAGGAATTTGTAGAAACGGACGAAAAATCTCTTAATTGTTATTTATCCGCGCAAATACAATTAACTCATCAAATTGCTTTAATTTTATGAGGGAAGAAGATTTTTCTCCTGTAAAAAATACGGTCTAAATGAAGATCCAGATGCGTGAAGACGGAAGACGAGAAATATGGAATAAGGGTGGGATTATGGGGAGAGATAGTGGGGAAAAGGGGAAGGAACAAGTTATAAGATGCAATTAGGTCGCATTACGCGAGAATGACGTGGCGAGAGTGAAATTTAATTAAGAGAACCAAACTCGGGTCCATCGCCCCGGTCTACGAGATAATTACTGAAAAAATGAGAGAAATAATGCGGGAGCCAGTGTTGTCAGAGATAATCTTCAGGGAAGCAAAGCTTACGCGAATGAAATTACATCGAAGCGCGAAGCCCGATTAGAGCGGAATTAGACGCGAACCGACCGAGAGGAACATGCACGATCGTCGAGGGAGGAGGAAACGAATCCGCCGACGAGCGATTGCAACAGACGAACGGGTGTAGGACGGAATGAAAGTGGAATTAAACAAAACTGTGAATATCTATATGGGGTTCGCCAGCGCTAGCATAATAGAAACAATGAGAAATCAAGTAAAATTACATGAAAATCTAGATAAAAAGCGAATTATATGTTGAATATTCAATAACTATTAATTAAATTAATAAACGGATTTTTGTGCTCGACAAAATAAATTAAAATGAAAGTTATGGCAACAATGCATATATATAAAAAATGAGAAAAGTTGATTTTTAATAAGTAAAGAAATATACACAATTAAAATGTATTCAAAATATTTAAATGCACAAAATATTTAAATTAAATAAAATTAAAATTTTAAATTTAGATTAAAATTTAAGATTAAGCGAAATATGTTATCGCGAGGTCAATGTTATGAATTTCCAACTTGTTATAAATCTGAAATTTGTCGCGAGAATAGTGTAAACACGACCAATGATAAAATGTGTACGATTCTCATATTCTTTCGATGGAAATAATACAAATTGGAATTGATACCAAAGTATACAATGTACATTTGAAAAACTTTAATTACAAATTATAATATTGTAACGATTAGTTAATCACGTATTCCACGTATCGTCTTCAACAAAAGGCAAACTTTTGAGGATGACTTTTTGAGTTGTTTAGAATCTCTTTATATTTACAAACGACACGCGACCGACAACTTGTTGCTTTCAATCCGGAACACAACAAAGTATCATGTACTGTGTCAAGGATATCTGTCGTCCTACTTTAGTTATTAAAAACTACCGATAAGAGGTATCGATAATCGCAACTTGACGAAATAGTGTACCTTCCAATTATTCGAAATTGTATCAATCTACTGTGCTTCTACCATTACTGTCATGTTTTTTTCTCTTTCACTTTAAAATACCAACAAACACAATGCTAAGACAGTGCAAAATATTGTTACAAGTATGAATACTTGATTTAATTTTGCGACTTACCTGACATTAGAAACGCTTCTCTGAATGTCCACATTGTTTCTTCTAGCGGCCTCTTCCAGAGTAACGACCTCCTGTTGACGTCTTCTCTCCCCTTCGGGCGGGTGCAATGGTATGATGATGTAGTCCGGCTCCTTCTTCTTGGCTCCTGATTGTTGCTCCTCCTGCGTTCTCGTCGGCTCGACAATCTTCTTTTGCGCCTCCGAACGTGGCACCTTCGTCCGCCCGCTGAATCTCAACCTGGAAAATCTCTGCAGAAAACCGCCCAGGCCGCCCTTCTTCCTCTCCTCGTTCTTCATGATGGCGGAGGCGGAAGACAGGGAGGATGTCGAAGACGTCGCGTACGTCTTCGCCGTCTCCTTCGGCGGGACGATCAACGGTCTTTTCGCGACCGCGTCTTTCTTGTTGATATCTAACGCACGTTGCTCTTCGCTCTGACGTTTGTCGCGATCACTACCGCGATGATTCGTATCAACTGCCGCCACGGCCATCGCGGGCTTCCCACTACTATGTTCACCGAATGAACCCGGGGCGCCGGGTGGGGATTCGGAGCCAACAACACTACGGACACTGTGTCCCTTCTCCTCTTTCTCCTTCTTTTCCGCTACCTCCACCTCCTCCCTCTTCTCTTCCTCTGTTGCCTTCTTTGCTGCCGCTGGCTTCTCGATCACGACTCTCCATAGGCATTCATCGGTGCCGCGCTCGCTCGAGTCAGGACTACGAGAACGCTCTTTAGGATCTTGTTTCGACGACGCGATCTCAACATTCTCTGTACTACTCCGTTCTTGATCCGTTTCCTTATTTTCATCTTTCCGAGGATACTGTTGACAAGACTGTGCCATTCGTTCCGGATAAAATTCACCGATAAAGTTTTCCTTCGCATCTGCAGACTCGTCTTCGCGCTTACCGAAAGGCTCTTCGTCGATGTAGGATACCATCGTGGAATTTCCAAGGACACTTTCCAACTCATTTCGTTTCTCCAATTCAATCTTTTCACGCAAAACAACCCTATCCTCTAAGCGGGATGCTTCTATGGGTTTGGTTTCCAAGCAGGGATAATCTACTTCGTCGTCTAGCAACCGCGGACTTAATGCGCTAGCATCGCCACAGGCTGAAAATGGATCCGAGTTTTTTTTTATCTGACCAAAGAACGAGTCATCTGGCTCTTCCCTGGAATATAATGAGTCCTTGCTAATGTTTGTGTCTGAGTGCGTTACGTCGGTGATTCTTAATTCTGAGGAGCGTCCTGAAGCTTCTTCTAGTTCATCGCACGCATCCATTCGATGAAACGCAGCCCTCGAGTTCTGCAACGCACTGAGATAATCGCATTGTTGCGCCAACTCGTAGCTGGCGTTATTTATTATTCGTCTTCTTTCGGGAGAACCGGGAGACGTGTTGTCTTCATCGTTATTTTTAAAATTTTTCTGGAAATTTCTTTCGTCCACCTCAAATTGTTGCGCTAGCTCGTAACTAGCATTTTTCTTCACCTTTCGGTTCTTAACCAGACCAGATGACGTTCGTTGAATCGTTTCCATCGCCAAAATGGCGGCATTCGCCACTTCTGAGGCGGCTGCCTCCTCTACCTCGCGTTTGAACTGCTTAATGGCCTCATCAAGATCGTTCTCCGTCATATTTATCGTCATATCCAACATACAGCTGGTACGATCTTGAGTTTTCACCGTCGATACCGGCTTGATTTGTTCATCGCTATGTGTTTGCTGCTTTTCGCAATGATCGCTTACGCATTCGACCTTTGTTCGTTCTTCATTTTTCTTTTCGCGCTTTTTCATGCTGCTATTCATGAACGAATTTTGAGCCGGCTGCGTTCTAACTGAGCTGATTAGCTTCGTTTTCGTTTGCGCTTCATCATTCTCCTGCAGAGTCGCATTTTCTCGCGAACTCTTCGGGGTCATCACTGTCTCGTTATCAGATATGGCCTCCGCCATTTCGAGATCGTTTATTCCGACGTCGCACGAAGCGGCGACGCCACAGAGATTCAAATCCACTGGTACGCTAGCTACCTGCGTATAATTCTCGAAGAGAGAAGACGTCGATACGTAGGAAGTCGTCCTCGAAGTGCGAGGACGAAATAGCGAAGCGTTGCTCAAATCACTACGTGCTGACTCCTCGACACTGTCGAGCAGACTGGGCGCGCTCTGCGACTTGTCCGTGAATCTAAAATTAAAGCGCTCCTCGTGACTCCACCCTTGATACTGCTGTTGGCAACGGCGGTGGTGGTGATGGTGATGGTGATCGTGTTGATCATACTGCTGCTGTTGCTGCTGCTGCTGCTGCGAATGTTGATGATGATGATGATGATGATGATGGTGATGGTGATGATGCTCCGCGCCGCAACCGGCTATATTTAACCTAGCTGTCTTCTGCCCGGACTTGAGTTCCAAAAGCGTGTCTCTCTTCGTTTCCAAGCCAATCTCCCGCAAATCGATTGTGTTCCGATAGTCCAAGGATGTCGCGTACTTGCCGGATTCGCCGTACAGCAGCAACCGATCCTCGAAACCGGTCATCAACCGGGAATCCGCGTTTGTACGATTTCGTTCGTATTCTTCGAAATTGTCTTCGTCCTCTCCCTCGTAATCGTGGTCCCTGTACTCCTCGTCCTCGTGCCAAAAGTCTCTGTTTCGTGGAGACAAACATGATTGAAATCTTGGTGCAAGTAGAGTTAGAGAGTTGCTATCTTATTTATTTCATTTCAATACGAATGATTAAATATAATCAGGATTTAATATGAGTATTGACTGTTTTTATTCAAAATGTTGTATTTATAAATCTTTGTGCAAACTTAACTATTTAAAAGCTTTTGAAGGAACCATAATTTAACGATTCGACGTTTATAATATCAGCAGCAAAAGTCAAGGTGGTCTTTCTCAGGGTCGAGATTGCATTTAACTTGGCCGTAAAACAATCATCACGTAGCGTACAGTCGGCATACGTTGCCAAGAAAATTGTTCAACACGCAGCTTCCTCGCACAAACGTATATGTACATTGTTTAACTCTTTTATTTCGAAATCGGAACAGAAAAGTCAGGAGAATCTCTCAACTATGCATTTTTGAGATTATTTGAAACAAACGAAAATAAATATACATAAATGCGACTATTTATAATTTTTCATAAACAATTTAAGAAAATTGCATTACTATTTTAATATTAATCTTTAATATCTCTTTTTTTGCTCTTTTAATAAATTTTAAATTATATGATAAAACAAGGAAAACTAGGACATGTAATAAAATTGATAAATGTAACAAATATTTTGCTAATAAAAGAATATAGATAAACTATTTAATTTTAATGATTTTCGAATACACAAAAATGCACTTACCGTCAATCCTCGCAAACTGTTAATTCGGGAAATAATGCGTGATTACAATAATTGTGTATTTCTATTCTAACGACACGTGTGAAAACAGGCAAATGTTAAATGATGCGTGCACACAAGCTAAGAATAACAAGCAAAAGCCTTCGTGACTTTAGTTGAAATTACAACGCAAGTAGACATGTATTAATTGCTGTATATTTCGGAAGATATTGCTGTCGAATAATGTGTAACATATAATAAAAATGTCAAAAATTCAAGAAAGAGTATATTATCCTATTATATTATATTTTTATTTATTAAAAAATAATAATTTTTAATTAAAATAAACCACGATATGTTCTCTAAGATTTAAATAGAGATTTCTTTACATATACGATTTGTAGTATTCCAAAAGAGAGAAGAAAATAAAATCTAAATTCAATATGAAAAGCACAATAACTTACCTTGGACGTTGTTTGTTCTTTCCAATATTCGATAAATCAGCACCTCTCTTCAGGTACAAAGGCGCGAAACCATTTGACATGGACGCTTGAACAAAATCTTCGTCCTTTTGACATGTATCCAGACTTTCGAAGCTACGGTAAGGCCTGATCTTTGGAAAATGATCGGTCAATGTGTTTGGAAAGCCATTCGGTAGCAGCCTGTTGTAGTCTTGTTCCAAACTATCAGGCGAATCGTTCTCCGCATGAGAGGCGTTCGATCGGTTAGAGTATTCCAGGGAGTCGAAGCTGTAGCTGGAGGGTGACAGGGTCGCGCAGGTCCTCTCCAAGGACTCGAACTGCAGTAGCGAGCTCGATCTGGAGGAGCCAGATGACCTGGACCTGGATGACCTCGGCGAGGCCGGATACTCGTCGTAAGTTGTCACGTGCTGATGATAAAGATGATCGGTGCCACAGTGATCACGACGACGTCTCTTTTTCGGCACCACAGAGTTACACTCGCTGCCGCTACCATCTAGTCGCTCGTCTGCCAAAAACACAAAGGAGAAATGAGAAAAATGACGTGAGGCACGTAAGGACTCGACTGAGTAAAAGCGAGACGAGCAAACGTGAATGGCCTAAACCTACTTTACTGTTGGAATCGAGATCGCATGTGTTGTTTTTAATTCCGCGAATCTCGCTAGGATAGATAAAGGAGGATGTTTGACGACCTACTTTGTAAAATCGAGTCACGGAAGTGAGATCCAATCTAATGGCCGCCACTTTTGTAACCCCATGCATACCTTCCGTCAGGAAGTTACGGTTCATTCAACCGGAAGCAATGCTTACAGCATTATGCGCTGGGCGCCATCAGTTCTCAACCGGTTGGTGATTATCGCGTGCGATGCGCGATTAATCGATTATTATCGATCAAGGTGTCATGTTCAGACGCGATCGTAACAAGTCTTAGTGTATAATGCTTGTTAAAATTCCGTATTAAAATTGGATGCTGGAATTTAATCATTTATTACAAGTTTCTATTTTCTATTTGATTTTATAAAGATTTTATATTATTCAAATTTTTTTATATTTAATAGATATAACATATTTTAATATTTTAATAAAAATATTTATTTTGCTAATAAAAGTCGTTCTTTTATTTAACTATTTTAGAAATTTAAATCTATTTTCGGAAAGAGAATCTTTTGGTCTCAGCATTGAAGCGGCGAGTATTCGTTTATATAATTTGATCCTTGGAATTTACGATTAAGAGAGTATATTAGTATATTTACCTTATATATACGTTATATTAATTCGAGATTACATACATTCCTCGGCAAAAAATGAAGGAATATTGCATTGGCAACACACGAAAGGTCGCATACGTGCTGGAAATAACTTTGCCGATTATATTTATCATTAAATCGATTTTCAGCAATTTATATTGTAAAGCTACATAGCAGAAATAAAAAGAAATTGATCCAAGTTTTTATTTATTAGTAGAGTTTAATTTAGATACGACGTATTTCCAACAACACGCTATTTGCAAGAATTATTTTATGGAAGGGTAATTTATTCCTCCATTTTTAGCAGTTTTTCCTTGATTTTATTTCTGTTTTTCTTTTCTTGTTTTGCAAATTATTTTCGTCTCAAAGTATCTATGTTAAAAAGAGAAAGTAAGTGCCCCTGCAATGCTGCAACCACGTGAAGCCCGCACGTAACAATGACTGCACGTTCAAAGGCGTATCTGAGAGCATGATGGCGTGATATTTAATTGTAACATATTATATAATTAATTTATTCAATTAAATATCTTATGTATATAATTTAGATTATTTAAATTATTTAAATTATATTATTTTATTTCTCAAAACTTCTCTATTATTATTTCCTCGTTCTAGAGATCTATTTAGTAGATCTTTTACATGTATAATTTAAATTTTTAGCAAAAGAAAAGTATATAAAACTAAAGTTTAATTTTTGGCTTCTTAATTCGATCCCTTCAACTTTGATGGTGTAATAATCGTGACAGATAATCGCGAGTCTGACGTAATTCCAGTAATTTTCTAATAAGCCAAAAGATTAGGCTGCTCAGAAGAAAGAGAAAGTAGAATGACTCTAAATGAACAAAATGATCTTATTCTCATGATATTCACTCAAGCGAAGAACTGTGTTATAAAATAACCTTTTACGCACCTTTCACTATATTCATATAAATATTAATAAATATCACTCGCAGTTATGTATGTTTTGTAATATATGTATCTGTATTAATGATTAGAATTTTTACCTGTGGATCTCTGCTTCGCCTTGATATGAATAACGCTCTCAGTCTCCGAATCGGATCCCAGCCAATATGTCGTTCCGCTGCGATCGGAATCGCTTTGAAGGTCATCGGATGTCTCCTCCAGAATCGTCTCCAGAAAATCTATTTGTTGTACTACCACCGTATCTGTAAGCACAAATATTTTTGCATTTAATAATTTATCACTCAATAAAAATTTGAATTTTTATACAAACGGATATATAATAAACAGAATAAGCATAGATTTCAAAAATATATTAAATATACAAATATTTAATATTTGTTTTAATAAAATTTATTTAATAAATATTTATTTTCTATTAAATAAAAATTAATTTTTTTAGAAAGTTTATATTTTCTTTGTTTATTTGTTTTATGTATCAATCACATATATATTTACACACATTTTCTGTGCGCATTATTTTCATGCGATAGAATTTGCATTCAATGAAATCAATTCGTCATTGGTGTCTTGTCGTTTCGTCAAAAGTGCAGTAACTGGATAGTTTCGGAGCAACTGAGCAAAATTCTTAACGAGAATTCGTGACTCATTCATTATCAAGAAATGCAATCATTATTACATTGGAAGATAACGTAACTGGAAGGTCATCCACCTCTTGTTTGAGCTTTCGCCTTCGTCAAAGCCGGTTTAAGGCATTTTAGGATATGCTATATATACACATCCTTCCGAAAAGTGTCTCATCACTTTCTAACATATAAAGTCTTTAGATTTTTCCTTAGAATTTTAACGATGCATCTTTGCAACTTTTATATTAAATAAATATTAATCTAATTTTTGCTTAAATTTAATAAAATTTTGTAGTGTTTAATTAAAAGAATATTAATGAACAGAATATTATAAATTAGATTAATCCTATTTTAAAAATTAGATATTGGCTATTTTTTTAAATCTATAAAATGACGTTTAGAATAAGATAAAAATGTATTTTGTAAAGAAACAATATTTATGTTTCCTCTAGAATTCATCATACATATAATTATGAGATTATGCGAGAAACGTTTATCATATAATTGTATGGATAAACTCCGGAAATGTAAACATATTTTTTTTCTTTTGCAATAGCTCATCTGTTCGAAGTCATCAACCATCAGAGAGACGTCTGTACTTGACAGTACAAGAGACTTTGAGTTTTATCCGTTAGTCGCCAGTCTCGGGTTGAAAAAGGCCTGAGTAAAGATCAAGAAACTAGTTCCGCTGCGGAGAGTGAATTGAAAATACCGAGTGGTGTACTTTAGTACTGTATATATGCTCTTAAACACTTAGACACCTGTGCCTAACGGTTCGCGCATTGATTTAAGCACATCCTCTTTCTCTCACCTTCTCATTAAATTTTATTTATTTTATTTTATTATCGTCTTTCAATAAATACTAATAAACTTTTAATTCAGCTCAAGAGCAAAACGTATCTAACAAATAAGGCGAAATAAGATATATCGCGATAAAAATTATCGCGAATACAACGGGTTAACAATGGTCAATTGGCCGCTCTCGACCAAGAGGAACGCGCAGCAGGAACGTAAAGTTTTGTGTACGTTCCCGCCTTCTCCCATCATCGTGCGATGAATGATGGCGTGAACAGTTAGCCGCTGCTGGGAACGGGATGTTGCATAGTTGCACGGCGCAATGCTAGAATGCATTCGATGCATTCTAACCGCGAGCGAGTACGCGATCTCTTATGGAAAAGTCAAGCGCTGTCTTATCTCCCTTCATCTTATTGAAATAGTTGCATAATAAGTACGCTGTAACATTTGCATCACGCGTCGCTCTTCTCTTCGTGCCGCATCGTCCGACTTACAATTAAAGAGCCAAGAGAGGGGAAACTCATTGTCAGAATTTAAATATTTTTTACTCTTATTTTTTTCCGCCGAGATTTTTGAAAGTAAGATTCGCGAAAGTTCGTCGAGGATAGAAAAAAAAGACGAGAGTAAATAGTCGAATAGATGTTTCAGTCAAGATCGAATCTTTTTGCGAGAGATTGCATGTAACTTTCCACGCGAGTAGGCGACGATAACGTTATCGAAATAAACTTTGCACATCTGCATCGGGAATGTTTGAATGCGATCACAGAGACTGACAGATCACAGCTGACTTTGCAAGTCAACGCGAGAGAATAATGAATGAAGCGAGAAGAATAACATTGATACGATACAATTTATTTGACATGTATTTTACAAGAATCAAGCGTCAATATTTTATAGTGACGTTTTATCGTGTTTAATTAAATAAAAATTGCTTGACGTTTCGAATCTTACGCACGACGCAAACTCGAGACAACAACAATAAACATTGACCGAGTACTTGAAAGATCAATCGAAAACACAATTCGCGATCGATTATACGCGAATTCGAGATATACAAATAACAGGATCGGCACGCACTGAATCATTGCTCGGTCGACCGATCAATTAATCCCAATAATTATGGAGTTAGTTTATTCGAGTGACGCAAGAAGCGTTCTCATGTGTGCGCGTATGCGTGTAGATGCACCTGATTTCCGTGATATCTTGAATCATCGGAGCAGGCAAACTCGAGGATAAATATTACACGCACGCAACAATAGTGTGCCTATTTGATACGTAATTTCAATTACATTAATTGAAATATAGTAATTGATAAATTTACAAGAATTTATTTTGTTTAATTGAATTAAAGTATAAAGTATTTTATTTAATTGAATTAAAGTATATTAAATATAATAATCTTTAAATATACAAATTAATAAATTTATAAAAATTTATTTTATTTTATTGAATTAAAGCAGAAGTAATTAAAGCAGAAGTAATTTCATTAAATTCAGGAAAGAAAAGACTTTTTTGTAAATTTGATACTAATTGCATGTGCGAAACACTTATCCTCCCCACAAGTTTCAGATGTCATATTAGATACGGAATGAGAGAAGATACGTCGTTAAATGGAATTAAATGTCTCTAATCATGTGAAGCCGGACCTCTCCTCTCCTCTCAACGATTGCGAGAGCGGGTCGCGAGGACGCTGAAACGCAATTTGTCTTGCACGAGTGCGGATGCACGCACCACTATGCAACATTATGGCGGAGCCACCTGTTGCCGTCGTCTACTGCCTGTTGCCTTTCCGTGACTAACGGACAAGAATAAACCATTGCGACTTACATAAAAATAATCAGCTCGACCAGAATCTTTTCAGGAGCCTTTCAACGGCGATTAGCGATAACTATAATATATAGGCGAGAGCTGAAATGCCAAAGAGCTTCTCAGGCTTATTTTTACCTCAAACTAAAATGTTTTTTTTTTCTCTGAATCTTAATTCTCAAACACATCAAGAATTAAATTAATTTAGTTTTATCTAATGAGAAACTTTAAAATAATATTAAAAATGTAATTATTATCGAGAAATTGTAAAGATATCCGATGCATTAGAACAAAACGTATTTTTATTTTTCAGTATTGTTTCAATTTCAAGAATATTATTTATTTTCATTTCTATCTCTTAAATGCTAACTTTCTTTATTCTAAGTCAGTCTTTCGAAGCGAATAATAAAGTAAACAGAGCGGATAAACTTTTCTCGAGCACAGATATACTCGACCGATCTCTTACTCTCCATTTCTCGCTTTGTTCGATAGCTTGCTTACTAATCGATCCACGTTAATTCACGTGACGTGAAACTCAAGCCAGTAATTTTCTCACGGTGAATCGATTGATCATCATTACTATTGTCTAAACTGACTTTGAAATTCACCGAGCAAAATTGCCTCTCCCTTTTTCCCTCTCTTTAAATTTTAACGAAGGAAAAACTTCGCTCTCCAAAATTTAAGGCGTGATTGGAAAAGAACATAAAAAAAACGTTATTAATTAAACTTCGCTCTCCAAAATTTAAGGCGTGATTGGAAAAGAACATAAAAAAACGTTATTAATTAAAAAATCCAAAGAAAAAAATTAAAAGATCCAGAGAAAAAAAATTAAAAAATCCAGAGAAAAAAAATTTTTTAATCCAGAGAATCTCGTCTCTCGATTATTATTGTCAATCGTCATGCGCATTTTCAAACAATTTTCCGCAATCGTAACAACGACCCTTGATCGAAGATAACCGATTGACATTGCTCGCATATCATATCGGAAAATAAAAAACATTATTTCCAACAATTTCCCGGAGCCTTCTCAAAGTTGCTGCAGACGCCTCGTCTATTACGCTCTAGATATCGAGGCCTATCATTACTACGATTTCCAGCGGTTTTAGAAAACAGGACGATTTTGCATACAGACGTTCTTTAGCACGTTGCTTTCTACTTAAACATGAATGAGAGAGATATTTAAAAAAAATTGCATACGTCTATAAATATACTACTCATTTAATCACAATGCATCATCGTTTTTTTTATGTAGATCTTGATTTGATGTCATATATTCATCTCTTATATAAGATACTTTTAATAATAATATGATAAATTTAGAAAGATATTTCGAATATAATAAATTTCTTAAAGTAGCTATTATTATATAATATGGTTTTATATTTTATATCAAGATATTTGCTTACAAGACGCTGCAAAATCTTCAATCTTAAGATAGATTCAATAGGTATTGTGAATATTATAAAACGTTTCCTTTCCCAAGCTTTAATACGTAATTTCGGATTAAAAGGGTCAATCGCTTAGTGTGACAAGCCGCGAGTGACGACCTAGATCACTATAATCGCGCCTTGAATTGCGTCGAGAAGAGCGATTTAACAGTATTCCGGCCCGTTGTTCTACGCTCGCTCTTAAAGTGAAGATTCGCATGCGGCAAAGATAAAAAGGAAGAGAATAAATCCTTCCTTTCTTTGCGCCCAAGATGTACCGTAAACGATTATTTTTATGCTTACCGAGGCAAAAAATTGCAAATATAATGATAGGAAACAATGACGAGAGACATTAGAAAGCATTGAAAAAAAATTAAATATATATGTTAAATATATATGTTAATATGTGCCGGAAATAATTAAAACGTTGAACTACACATTAGAGTTGTACGCGACTATTCAAACATCAACATGAAGAAAGAGAGGTAGGAGAGAGAATGCACGTGTGTGAAAAAAAAACAACGGAAAGAAAGAGGGAACGTACGAACCATTAGGCCGTAGATCCTCCAAGTGTGTCGGTTGAAAGTGGGAATGATGCTGCAGTTGAAAACCGTAGGCCGGAAGCCAGGGATTCGGTCCGTTCACCAGGTCCATATCGGCACCGGACTCGACGCAATCCAGGGTCAAGGCCGCCGAATCCTCCTCTTCCTCGTCCGCGGAAGAAGCCGCGGAGATGACGGCGACGCTCGTCGGCGTCGGCGTCGGCGTCGGCGTCGGCGTCAACGTCAACGTCGCGGTCGCGCTCGAGTCGCTCCCGCTCATCATCGCACGATGATGACGATTCCTCGCCTCGTCCACGATCGGCACCGACGATCGTTAGCGGCTCCGACGAACTGTAAACCCCCTTTCCGCCTCTCCTTCATATCCCGCCACTACGAATGCAGCACCGGAAGCCGCGCCGTTTCTTTCCGGCCGGGGAGAGGACGTTCCGATTCGGCGTCAGATTCGGCGTGATTTCGGCATCATCCAGATCCGGACGTCGAACCCTTCTTCCACCCGAACGTGCACGCACTGGGGGCAATTGAAATGGAAACGTGACATGATTAGCTTTAAAAAAAGGGGAGATTAAATCGGTGCTTTTAGATTCAGAAAAATCATAAACAAGATTACTCGATAAAAAATGAATATTACGGTAATAAGAAGGTCGTCAGCGCCGATTCCTTGAGAGAAATGTATAAAATAAATTTTTCTTTATAAAATTTAATCGAATTTTTTTGTAATTTTTTAATAATTTTTTTATAATTTCTTTAAATTCTTTTCTAATATCTTTTTTATAAAAAAGACATGAGAATTATTATACGAATACTTTTAGATTTATGTGCGTGCGCTGTTGACTTTTCTAAATCGTTTTCTCTTTCGCTTTCTCAAGTCCTTCGAGATTTAAGACTTTAGGGTCTTTACGATCTACGACTTTAGATTTAAGATCGTCTTGAGTAACGACGTCTCGAACTCGGAGATCTTCAAACTTTCCCCGGTGGAATTCTCAGCCTGGGATTCGCGGATGAAAAGGAATTTGCGATGGAATTCGTTCAACGATTCATCGGTCGAGGGAGATCGCGAGATTCTCGAGAGGGAAAGAGATACAGTCTGCATCTCTCGCGCGATATAGGAATACGCCTTTTAACGAGCGCGCGTACCTGAAGCAGGCATTAAATATTGCCGCGAGGCGCGGATTTACATGACACGACGGCGAAGGGAATCCTTTACGCAGGTGGGAGTTACGTTTGTGTAATTGGATAAAGATCGCGGGTCGTCGCTCTTTTCCCTCGTTCCTCTCCGTCATCCCCTGTTCCGCCCTCGCGATTCCACGAACGGCAGAAATGTTATTACCGTCGTATTTCTTTCGGCGGACAGACCGGGCGGCTTAAGGTCAATGCATACGATACGACGCCCTTGACTTGATCTTCCAAAATAAAGCGTCAAAAAGGAATGCTAGAGGTAAAAAACAAAATGAAAAAAAAGAAAAAATTCAAGGAAACAAAATGAGAAAAAAAAATATCGAGGATATAAACTGTTCCAAAAATTATACATTGTGAAATTAAAAAAAAAATTAAATTTATGTCTTTATTTAATGATATATAAATATCGTATAAAACTTATTCCGATATTAATTTTATGGTAATAAAATATGGTGCAAACGATTGTGATGTTAATCAATTTGTCTCTGACTTTTTATCCCAGCGAGAAGAGAGACTGAATCGTGCGCCCGAATGAATGCACTCTCCCAATCGAGATAATCGCTATCGCCATTCACGCTCCGTGATAACGTCCTTGGGGATTTATTTTCAAAGCATAGAAAGTATCGCGATCGCGAAAGAGAACCGGAAAACGATCGTCGATAAATAATCGTGTCGGAGAATAAAGATCGCGTGATTCACAGTTTTATTACTCGCTCAAACCACGTCATTCCACTTCTCTTTTACGGTAACCGCACAAAAAAAAATACTTGAACGCATAGAGTGTCGTGGAATTTATTTCTCGATTAATAAACCTTACTAATTACTATTAATAAATCCATATCCCGCACCTCGTAATATCTCGATGGTGCGCGACATCGGATTTAAAAAAAAATATGGAATGAAATATCGATCGGATATCGATCTCTCGAGGCGTTTCTAGTCGCGATGAACTACGTCGCGGATTCAGAATCTCGTTAATTCAAAAATTGTACTCGCGCTCTCTCCTTGCACCTTACACGTCACTGTATATTTTTGCAATGCACGTCCGACCACACGCGGACACTTTCACTTTACATAATGACTTTTACGCAGATAAGATGTTCCATACGCGATTTTAATCATTTCACGCCGAAATTTTTTGTTATCATCTCTACAAAAATTCGACGTAAAGAAAGAAAGGGAAAGATCATTTATTTTTTTTTTATAAAAATCCTAAAATACAAGAGCATCTCGAGAGTTTAAGAACGCGTAAATTTTGGGACACATTTTGATAGACACAAATCCCTGAAATGCAAAAATGTATAGAAACCTGAAATTCGCTTTTTACAAGTTCAAGACGCGAGGCTACCGAAAACTTGAACCGCAGAGTTTTCAAGGTGTCTTTCCTCGCTTCATCGTTGGCGATTCCGCAACATGAAAGAACGGCAACGCGCGTAGCAAAACGACCGTGAAGAGAAACAAAATGCGAAAGAGATACAAAGAGAAGGAGAGAGAGAGAAAGAAACAGAGTTGTTATCGGAGCAGAGAAAGGGAAGGAGAGAGAGAGAGAGAGAAAGAGAGAGAAATAGAGACAGACAGGACGCCGCGTAAATAGACACAATCGCACGCCACAAGAGACAGAAGAAAAGAGAGAAAAGAAAGACGGCGAATGTGTACTCGAGAAAAAGAGAGGGCTACAAAGGGAAACGTGATAAAAGAGGATACCTCGCACTCGGGAGAGAAGTGCGGCGGCGCGGCGTATCTACCTGTCAGCGTGCATTCCACGATCCCGCGACGTGCTGGCGGCGCTCCGCGTGCGCCTCGTGCTTCTGCCCGTCGACGTGCCTCTTCCTCTCGGCGTCGTCGCGAGCGTCTCGTACGTCACGCCGCTTCACCACGCGAAACTATGTATATATATCTATATATATCTATATATATATATATATATATATGCACTTGTCCGCTTCTCTCGGTCGCGAGTCGTTCCAGCGGCGACGTCAAGCCGGTGACGTGCGACGCGCGAACATGGCGCACTCACTGTCGATCCACAGGTACGTACGATCGAAGCATCTATGTATCGTGCACGTACAACGAGCGGAGATGCTTGACGCGTTCTCGTCGCACCGAGAGATCGTCGGTTTCTTCGAATCCGTGGCTTCGCTTCGTTTTATTTCGACCAGGACCGCACAGCGAGTCGCAGCACGCGTCGATCGACGATTCTACTTTACGCACCGCGGTGTAAATACTACGAGAAACGCGCTACTTTCGTCCACGATGCGCGGCGGCCACGCCGGCCAATCCCCACCCGCGCCACGCGATCACGTGATAGGGACCGCGACCAATCGGGAGGCGCGGAGCACGCGCAGCCGATATCGCTGGCGCTCATAGAGCCATCTGTCGGCTCGAATTTCACGCGATATCGATTACGTTCGAAAGTAAATCTTTCGGCTTTATATCACGGTACTTTTGAACTGATATCTCGAGAATATTTGTAAACATTTCTTGTAACAATATCTCAAATGAGTTCCAATTAAAATATACGCGATAATGAACTTTTATATCGCACAAGTGCATTTACAAGATGCAATAAATTATGACGCGATGAATTCCTCGTTACCTTGAAATAATCATTTTTTAAATGTTATTTACTTGAGTTTGTATACAATATATTTATATACATTTCCTCGTAATTTCGCAAATATAATTAACAATTTTTAAAGTAAACGACTTTAATATTCTATTATTAGCGTCACGCGAGCATTCTGATGAAACCTTACGTCCGATCGATCAATAGCTACGATAATTGCGAAAAAAGACGCGTAGAAAAAACTTGACCATGTGGCCATGAGAATGACGTTTGTGTTCGATGTCGGTGATCTAACTCGAAAAAAGAATGAAACTAAATCAAGACCCGTTACGTATTCGTGTCATTCACCCGGATTCATTCCTTACAATATACATGTCCAAAAACTGTCCAGAAATTATTTAGAGGATATCCAAAGGACATATCTTCTTTGATTGCCCCCTGAATGTCTTTTGGACATGTATATTGTTAGGAATTGGAATGAATTTCAAGATTAACAGATTTATCGATCATCGAGTATTCTTGTCATCTTCGTTTTCTATCCTCCGAGATACTTTAGATAAATAAAGATACGTATCGTGCGTTCTGCAAATAATTCAAACGAGATACTTATAGAGGCAGCTTTATTATGGCGGGCTTTTTTACGCCCGCACAATCGTTATGTAAAATCTCATTTATTATAAAATATGCCGCGTATTTTTTTTCATTACCTTGAAATTCTCAGGTAAGCAACAAAATCAAAAAACTCGCACTCAACATCTTTGCGAGTAATACCTTTCGACATTGATCGCTTTGGGAAGCAACATTTCTCACTTCGGTCTCTGAAAGTTTTTTTTTTGTGCAATATAAAATTTCCAAAAATATTGATAAAGCTTATCGAGATGAAAAATTGAAAAAAATTCTGTGAACAGTACGATATATTTTTTTTTTCGCATTGGATTTAATATGACTAAATGGACTCTTTAATCATTGATTTAATTTTAAGATATCTGTAAAAAAAATGAGAAGAGGATAAGATGTCCTTCTTTCCTCGACCGTATTCATGCTCTCACCGTATTCATAATATTGCGGTGATTCTGTCGATTCGTCTTCACATTCCTCGGTGGCTGATCTAATCCTTACGATTTCCTGCCTTTCGCGTTCACCGACCTTACCTCCGAATGGCACGTAACCGGACCTCACAACGCGACTCTTGGATTCGCTTCTGACGGCGGCTGCGACCTGGAAAACGCGGCAAAAGTTTCGTCCTTCAACACTAACCGTAATCGTAGATCTCGCTGGGTTCCTCGTTCACCATTTCTTCTTCGTTTTCGTCCTGTTCTTCGGTCTCTTCGTCCACATTTTTGTCCTCCTCGTCACCTTCGTCTTCCTCCTCCTCCTCTTCCTCCTCATCTTCCTCTTCTTCATCTTCATTTTCGTTGTCCTTTACAGCTGAGCGATAAGATCTGTTCTCGTCAAGCTTATTTTGAAATTGATGACGTTTTCGTACGACATTATAATCATTGTCACGATACGCCTGTTTGATCCAGCGTGGATGTTCTAAAAGACGACGTCGTAATGATGGCTCAAAACTCTCGTAAACTTTAGCTTCTACATATGGGACATGTCCGTGAATGTTTTCGTTCACGATCGTTGCAGAGAATCTTGCTGGAAAGTCCCAATCGAGCGCATCGTCGACAATACAAATGTGTGACAGAACTAAAAATGACGATAAGAGAACAAATAGAAACATAGCCTCAGCTTTAGCATTATCGATTGATAGCGATGCGACTGAATATAGTGTAATTAGATTCATCATACACATGCAATGCAATCGAATACAATCGCGAGCCACTTGAGATAACTTCATCAGATATACTTGACACACAGATCAAAATCAATTGTTATATAATTACCTTAATTTACTTTATGAATAAAATATTACAATTATGTATTATAATCAATATACCCAATACACAATTATATATTTTCTCTAAATAATATATATATAATATTATATAATAGATATTTTTATATATTATTTCCCTTTTCTATATATCTTCATATATAAAGAAGTATAATATTATTTCTTGCATTATATTGGCGAGTACTTAATTGGTTGTTAAAGCAAGTTTTGCACAATGTAGGAAAAATAACTGTTTTGTATAAAAATGTAAACATTTTAAAGCTACAACCAATGCATGTCTAACATGGATTCTTGCATCAATTGCTTTCAAATCTAAACAGGATTTCTTTCCAGGTACGTTTTTGTCACAATGTCAGTGCGACATTGGTTTAAATCTATATAGGTCAGATTAGTGCAGCCTACTACAGGACACCTATAAATATAATAAAAATACAATATAATATGCTATGGTAGAATACTTCAATATCTAGCATTATAAAAAACAACACACCTGGTGTTTTTATTTTTTTCTAACATTGCGATAAGACTTGCTTTATCGTATACATGACCACAGGCTGCATTTTTTACTGGATTGGTCATTCTTGTTTTCGAAATTGGATCAATCACGTTTATATCAAGACCTGTCAATTGTAAATCCGCATCTGTGTCGTCCAACTCGTTACTCGGTGTGTCTTCATTAGCTAAAAAATTTATATTATTCTCAAGTTAATAATATATCGAAAATAAACTTGAATTTCTAGTTTAACAATTACCTTGATGCAATACTTCAATCTGCCGATCATATTCCAAGAGCCTATTATATTCTGATAAATCAACTTGAATGTTAAATATAGCTTCTTTATACTCCTATTGCAAATACAAACATTCTAAAAATCTTATAAAATAAACTCGAAACCCTTTTCGGGTTAAATTTGCTTTACCTTTATAATGTCTTCAACATTTTTAGCTTCTGGATCAAACGTGAGTTCGAGTTGTTCTTTGATTTTACTTGCAGCCAATATTCTTGCAGATTCGCTACAACTTTCTTTTAAGATACTTCTCAATTCTTCCAATGTTTTCTTTTTCTCTTCTTCATTAACTGAAAGAAAAAAAGAATATATAAACCTTAATATCTTGGGATAGATTCTATATCTTTGTTTCTACTACTGTATTCTTTTATTTCAAACGAAATGAATATAAAAATAAAATGAATAAATATGAAATAAAAAATATTAATAAATATAAAATATAAAATATAAAATGAAGATACTGAAAAAAAATTTTTATTCCTATTAAAATGATTCTTAACCTCACTAGAATCTTACCGTAGTATTTCATAATATTATCTGCTGTTTTAAAAAAACAATCGTCAAGAGTTTCAATCATTTGATTAGACTGTGCCATTTTGTATAATATTCTGATCGTTCACAGAATACATCGAGCTGTTAAATTTCTTTCCAACACCTTCAGCCGGTTAGTAAACAAATCGACGCCATCAAACAATCTTGATTGATGAAAACTTTTTGAATGAAATATAATATCGCGAAAGAGATTTATTCTATTAGCTACATCAATCTCTCAATAATCTTTTGTATCTAATTAATCTTTTTATATAATTTACATAAATTGATATTTATAAATTTTTTGTTGCACACTACATATTTTATACATCGCGTCAAATTCATACTTGATAACTCGATTTGTGTGCATTTGATCCAACTTCAGCTGCGACTTGCATAGATTACATCTAACTTGTTTGCATAGATGCATAATGCATAGAAAAATCATCGACCAATCATTCGTCTAGAACGAAGGAGACAACAAGATGGCATCCTACACATTAGACATTTCATTGGTTAATTTCTTTACGCACATGCATTAAGGTGCAATTTCATTGACGCTAGAAACCAGCGGCAAATTAAAATCACTAGACTTTCTTTAGATTTGGCGTCAATAAAATAAAGTTCAAACAGTTTCAACTTTTTCAATGTGTAAAGCGGCCTTTTCAATGACGCTACTTTTTAGCGTCAATGAAATTGCACCTTAACAGTTGGCAGCCCTACGAGATAGGCTGTGCAGCACTGCGCGTATATAAAATAAATTTGAAATCGCTTCTAGCCTAACCATCTTCACGCGATCGACTTTATTTGAATTGCACGGCATCGCATCAAATTATGATGCAGCGCCGATTTGTTCGAACGTAATTCGGGACATCGCGATGCTGTATAAGCGTCGAATGAGCACGAATTGTCACGCAAATATGATAAATCACATCTACTCACCGTTCACCGGCTGTTCCACAGGCCGCTCCACTCGTTCGCCTCGGGACGTCCCATTCCGATCTTGATGCACACGATATCATCAACGCGAACGCGCGACACTTTATTCGGCACTCCCGATATTCGCTCGCATCCGATAATCATCATCAAGGGCGCAAATAATGCGACGCAACTTCGCTCCATCTTCGCGATGACGCCATCACTGAATGTCGTCAAAAATCGCTGTCGCGCGTTTCCATCGACACACTATAAAAGTCCCGCGATCATTCTTCGACACTTTCGACGCTCGTTCACTCGCGATATTCGTTTAAAAACGGTTAAAAGACACGAAAAATGCGGACGTACGACGATCCGTGTAACTGCGTATGACTCCAAGTCACGTATGACGCGTATGACGTAGCTATGACGTGTATGACGTAGCAGTCACGCGCCAACATGGCGGCCGAACCAGTGCGCACTGGTTCGGCCGCCATGTTGGCGCGTGACGTCACTGCGACGTCATACGCGTCATACGTGACTTGAAGTCATACGCAGTTACACGGATCGTCGTACGTCCGCATTTTTCGTGTCTTTTAATCGTTTTTAAACGAATATCGCGAGTGAAAGAGCGTCGAAAGTATCCAAGGATGATCGCGCGACTTTCATAATATGTCGGTGAAAGTGCGCGACAGCTATTTTTCACAGTTCAGTGATAGCGCGATCGCGAAGATGGAGCGAAGTCGCGTCGCGTTATTTGCGCCCTTGATGATGATTATCGGATACGAGCGAATATCGGGAGTGCCGAATAAAGTGTCGCGCGTTCGCGTTGATGATATCGTGTGCATCAAGATCGGAATGGGACGTCCCGAGGCGAGCGAGTGGAGCGGCCTGTGGAACAGCCGGTGAACGGTGAGTAGATGTGATTTATCATATTTGCGTGACAATTCGTGCTCATTCGATGCTTATACAGCATCGCGATGTCCCGAATTACATTCGAACAAATCGGCGCCGCATCATAATTCGATACGATGCCGTGCAATTCAAATAAAGTCGATCGCGTGAAGATAGTTAGGCTAGAAGCGATTTCAAATTTATTTTATATACGCGCAGTGCTGCACAGCCTATCTCGTAGGGCTGCCAACTGTTAAACGATAAATTTTTTCGATCTAACTTAACCTAACCTCTCAGTGCTTTGGATGTCGAATGTAAACGCAAGCGTATGCTGCCTGGATTTTATCATGCTTTCAAAAATAATATTTAATTATTTCATTAATGTATTACATTTTATTACGTAGTATATTAATCGTATGAAATATGCAGTTTTACACATTTTAATGAGAAGCATATAATATAATTGGTTAGGTTAGATTAAATTAAAACAAGCTGCTGTGATTCATTTAACGTAATAGGATTAATTTGACGAATGTGCAGCTGTTGAAGTTACATGATATTTGTTGACACATTTTTAAAGTAATCATGAGTGTCTTATCTCATCTTGATTATATGAAATTAAAATATAAAATATTTATGTATTCCACATTAACGTTATTCATTACAAGTACTATATTACTTTTCTTATATCTCAATCATATTTCATCGATGAAGCTTTTCATATGTCGCAGACAATATGATACTGTGTGTGGAATTTTACACAGGTAATACATGGCACAAAAATAATTTGTTCTCAAGTATTGTGCGCATTTCTCAAAAATAAATCAAATTAAATTATTTTAAGTAGGATCCAAAAATCACTACATGCCAGGATCGTATCTTATTATAACTGCAATATTATCACCTTTTAATATGTGTGCGCAGTATTACATACATAAAATATATAAATTTATTTGAAACGTATGGAAATCTTTATCTTATATATAATATTTATGATATAAAAGAAAATTGCAACTCTAATGAAACAGAGCGGTGGAATAATTGGTTGATCCTGGTCTACAATATTTATCCTTTTTTCATCATTAGATTTTTGGTGCTTTTTTTATTATACAGATGTTATCTGTAAATATAGTACTTGTAATGTTGCTTCTGTATCACTGTAAGCACACAAAGTGATAGCATTTGCAGGTAATTATGTTATACTTATATATCATAAGAAAGAGAAAATAAAATTAAAGTTGAATACTGAATGTGCTCTAAAGTAAATCTCATCCAAATAAATAAATGCATAAATGTGCGCCCCACATTCCTCATGAAAAAAATACATAATATTAATTTTTATGTATTATTATTTTTAGATTTTTATTCTTTTAAATTCTCTAGATGCACTTTTCATTTCTCCTCTCTTTCTTTCCAACTACTAAATATAGATCTATCATTTTTAATATAGATCTGTCATTTTTAGTGTACATTATTGCAGTAAGTGGAATAAAGAGCAAATCTTTTGGCGCATTTAAAATGTACAGGAAAGTTTTATCTGATGCGTTTTTTTCAATAGAAAAATATCTGAAAAAAATGCATACGTCTTTTTTAATCTCAGTCTTTCTAAATAAAAATTAGAATAATAAATTTGCAAAATAATTTGCTTTAATATATTTTTATTGCAAACATATGAAGCAAAGTGCTCAAGGTGCATCACTATGAAAACATCGATAGAATAAAAAATAGATCGCATACAAAAAAATTAAAATATTTACATTACATATTTGATATTTCTGCAAATATTTCCATTATTTTGAGATTGATTTGTTTCATGATATATTGCAATAATTAAAGTATGATTTCTGATATAATCTGCCATGAGACTGCAGAGAAAGCCAGCTTTAATTCTTTATTTTGTTCAATATTTTTAATAATATAATAATTAAATTAAAGTTCTATGAAAATATGCTTGAAATACTAAATAAAAAAGATTGTTTCTTATGTACAACCTTATACCTTATAGTTTAAGTAAACAAAAAATTATTGTTAATAATATACATATATAAATTGATAATTAAATAAAACAATTAATTAATTAATCGACACAATCCATGTTTTTTTTAGCTTTATGTCTAACACATATATATATATATATATATATATATATATATATATATGTATATGATATATATTTTTATAAATAAAAAATGTTTCTTTCTAATATAAATTAAATAAAAAGTATAATATGCCTTTAAATGCTTTATATACATACCTGTTGCAATAAACCAATAAAGAATGCTTTTACATTCCTCCTTGTACTTTGGCATACATATCCTTTATGCCAATTATCTCGCAACATGCTTTTATCGCATGATGACAAACAAGCTCATTATCCTTCATGAATTTTCTTTACAAATATTTTTATATCCTCAAACTGTGTAAAGAAATCATGTAACACTGAAAAATACAAAGTGATATTAAAAGAAAAGAAATAAATTTTATATTATATAGTATTGACAATTATTTTCTTACCAGTGTATTCCTTATATGTAGGAATATACATTAGTCTTTGACCAACCCTATTTTTAACCGTCTTTAGGGATTTTTAACCGTCTTTAGGGATGCTTTGGCTTTTGATAACGCAAATCCAGCTAATCCATTTCCATTTCCGGTTACTATAAATGAACTGATTCTATTCTTACGTGCTAAATTACCGGTCATACAAGTTATCATTTTGTTTTCCAAAATCCAGGTTTCAAAATTTTCAATGTATCTACAGAAAACAAAGATATTAATTATATAAGATTTTAATATTTAGAACTGAAACATAAAAAAAAATTGAAAATAGACATCGTATCACATGATTTTTGTATGTGTGTGATTTAACCATTATAATCTAATAATAGCATAAAGATTAACCTTTTCCAATAAGATCTGATTCAATGCTTCTGCCATCCATTGTAACACTCGTCCAACCACATTCCAATGGCGATAATTTTATTTGCATCGGTCTGGTCTGACTTTGTGGTAATTCCATAAGTTTTTGCTTTCTTTCAAGATTTACAAGCAGTTTTTGCTGTTGAATTAATTCTTTTCCTCTAAACACAGGAGTGTTTAGACCAGGAAATTGTATCGGAATTTTTCCCATGCCAATAATTTGCTCTTTATTTAGGAGCTTTCTCTTTTCACTACTCTTCTTGCTCTATCTCTGCATCTTCCTGCATTACTGATACTTGTCACACCCTTTCATAATTCATCTTCAGGTCCTATAGAACAAAAGCACAGTGAAATACAAATTATTTTCTACTGTAAATATAAACTATTATCACAATGCTATATCCATAAAAGTTCTACTTACTATTCGCAAAAAATATAGAGTTTCTCACATTATTTAATAAAGTGACTATTTTTAATAAATGTGAATGACTGACAAGCAATAAATTAAACAATATTAAACAATAATATACCTGAAAAAAATTTCATAATTTTATTGGAGTTAAATTGATAAATTAATTTTAAATACACATTATATGTTAATTACATATAATGATTTAGAGACAATGATATATTTCATTTGCGTTACCATTGTTTATAGATTGAACATTTTTTATCAAATTATTTACAACTCTAAATATGTAGCATACGACAAGCCATTTTTAAAATCTATAAAACAAACAACAAAGTTGTTCATAGTTTTCACTCTTTTTTTTGTCATAG